AGTTTCTGGTTATTCCAGGACAATACAGATGTCCCACAGATCTGGTGTTGTCTCTGTGGTTCCCATACAGATGTCTGAGGTGTCCAGGAGTGTCTTTAATGACAACAAAGCCTATGCATAGCCTGTGGATTAAATCCTAGCTCTATAATTGGTAGGTGTGACACCTAGAGCACACCTAAACTTAGTTCAGTTTGGACATGGAATACATACAAAGCACTCAAGCAAGTAAGAGGGCAGACAATAGCATATCAGAAAGACATTTTCAGGGAAGTAAAGTCTGGATTTCAGTGTCTCAGAAGGGTACTTCTGAAAAAAAAAAAAAAAAAAGGAAAATAGAGCATTTGAGCATAACAGTTTCATGCACTAACTGAAAAAAAAAAAATGATGCAAAACATTAAACTCATTTCTGAAGTCAGTCTAGATAAAAGGCACAGTAAATTCAGGCTCACAGCTCCTAAAATCCTTGTTGAACAAAAACAGTTTACTCAAAAATATTTTCAGAGTTCTATCAGAAAAAACAAACATTTCATTAAACCTCCAGAGAATGAATTAGCATAGCTGCAATAGTATAGAATAAACTTTAATTTAGTATAAAGAAATGATAAGAGGCATTTCCTACTTCTTTCACTGGGAAGAAATTAGTTTTGGAACTATGAGCTTATGTATTGTTTTATTAACTGGGACTAATTCCAGGTTTGTCCTCTCCGTCCTTACGTGACCTGCACCGACCAGTTGTAGACAAGGAACAAGCAGACTTATTTTACTTCCTAAACATTTGTAACCTCTGCCTGTGGCAATTTGGCCCCTTTGGATGTCAGCTGCCGCACTGAGCCAAAACACTTAAGTGTATGCTTAGATACATATTTGAAACACCATAGTTACATTAATCTCAAAGACAAATAGCTGGTGCCTACTTGAATATAAACTTGTAGTTTTCCTTGAAGCAGGACTACTATTGCACAAAGGTCAGCAAAACATCCATGAACCTCTCCTGTCTCTTGTTCAGATGCCTTGTTACCTAAAAACAAAGCTCTACAATTTTCAAAAGCACATAATCCCACACCTTCAAAACAACCTAAATTCTCAGGAATTGCAGTTCTACTGACTTTACAAACATGTTTTCAGGGATATGAAAATGGGCCTTTTGCTTTAATTACAACATTGAAAATTACTTTCCCGCTATTGTGACCTTAATACTTTCTCTCTGCCTGTACTGTGCCATTACTGTTGCAGGCATCTCCAGAATATGGGCTGTGTGTGGCTCAGTGTCCAGCTGGCAGGAGGCTGCAAGTCCCCAAACTGCACAACTCTGGCCCACACTTGAAGCTCTGGTGTAGCAGAGATATTTGGCCACATTTAGCATCTCCATCTCAGTGATGGTGGGCACCCTGTGACTTTGCTTGTTTAAGCAGCTGGCAAGCCAGGCTCTTGGCAGAAGGAGAACGTGAAAACGAAATCAGTGGAAAGCCTCCAGCAGACGTAGCAGAAAGCAAACATGTTACTAAATGTCCAAGATCTGGTCCTGAATGCTGTGCAGTTCTCCTGCCAGCCGCTGGCCTCACAGCAGTTTTCCTGCCAGGAGGAAACACGTATGGGATTTAAGTGTGTGCCAAGGGTGGATCTGACCCCACTGCTGAGATTCAGCTCAAAGCACAGGCGCTTGTACAGCTGAATATAAACTTTACTTTCAAGACACAAAAGTATGCAGTTCTTTCCTTTCATGTATCAGTGTACACTGTGTCAGTAAAGTGCTTTGGTATCAGATTTGCTAATATTATACCATGCTGCCATAAAAACAAACAAGCAACAATTTCTGAAGTGAACTTCTTCAGTAAATCTGACACTGCGGATCCATCCAGTCCCAGTGGCAACAAATCCAGTATGTATTACATCAAACTAAGCTTATAGGAAGGTCTCAGCAAGTCTGTGCTGGGCAGAGCTTTATGAAATTGTCAGGGTTCATCACCTAGAAATGAGCTGGGAGAGTGGCTGGAAGCTGTTTGGAGAAACAGGCACACCCACATGGAAAAAAAAAAAAAAAAAGAAAGAGAAAAAGGAGAGCGGGGAGCGGGGAGAGGGGAGAGGGAAAAGAAAAACTCCACTGGCAAAAAACCAACCTCATCTACATCAGGCAAGAATGACACATGGGCGTTCTCCACGCTATTATCTCCCATATTCCTGTTCAAGTTAAACTTCCTTGTCTGACTTTTTTAGCCAACCATCTGCCACACACTCAGCACAGAAGTGCTAGGACCTCAGGAGTAGATTACTGTTAAAAACTTATTTTCAGGATGACAAAGTGCTATCACTTCGCACACAGTTTCATAGCATTACTGCAAATCGGGACACATGCAGTTAGCACTGTATCCTGGATTTATTAACAGGAACACAATTAAAATGTTTTTGAGTTCTTGACTCTGGAGGTAAGTTCACAGAAATTGCTATTTAATCAAGTTACTATAGAAAAAGCCTTCAGATAAAAGGTGACACTGTGGTTGAGTTTTGTTTGTAACGTGAAGATATTTACCTAGGACATCTGGATCACATCTCAGTTGGAAAGATTTAAAAGCCCATGTGGGCTTTTATATATATTGTGAGAGCAATCAATTGGTTCACTAAACTACATCTAAGTAGGGCTTATTTTTGCCCACTTAATGAAGGTACTGTAACATACAGACACAGTGGAGAAAGGATCAAGTCAGGACACATTCATTTTTGTTCTACTGGCTGTACGACTTTCATTCTGAAACACAGTGAATAGAAGCTGGTACATGTCTCATATTTCACTTAGAAATACCAACTTTCCACATTTCAGCAGAACCAAGGAGGAATTTGCAAAGTTTATTTCACTTCACACACCTAACTAAAGGAGTGCTATGCAACAGGAAAAAAAAAAAAAAAAAGAAAAAAAGAAAAAAAAGAGCATAGACCTTTATTCAGCAAATTCCTATCATAAACCTTCTCTTTAAAAAAAAAAAATTGAAGATAGAAAAGGATACAGAATAAAGTAAATAAAGGCTTAACATTATTAAAGACCAACTCTAATGCAAAAACAAACACTTCATTAAACACGATTCCTTATACACTTCTTAAATAGGCACTCTCATTTCAACTGGAACATGCAAGTAGCAGAATGAAAGTACTCCTTTAAGGAGGAAATGAAAGTAGAGAACAAAAGAGAAATCTTGATCCATTCATTGCCTTCAGCAGCCAGCTACATTTGGAATTCAAATTAAATTTGGTAGATGTTACAGAAAATACCTTAACTAGCAGTAGAAAATCTAATTTTATATATGATCTGATGCCTAATAAGACTGAGGACAAGAGTCTGAGCCACAAACATGGAAGTTAATACAGACACTTGTCTTCTTCCAACCTGAGCTCTTATTAATAACTGATCTTTAAAGAAGAGTTCTCTGAAAATTGATCATCTGAGTTCTAATTATATCTTACTGCAGCCTATTGTTCCCATTAACAACAAGGTAATACCTCTTGTATTTCTCCAGTAGTTCTGCAAATACAAGTAATTAGAAATACTAAGTATGAAACTCCAAGATAATGCATAACTGTATCAGGGAGAAAGAAGATTATTACACCTTTAACCAGTTATGTTTATAAGCAACTATTGCACAGCCCTTTCATTTCATATCATATTCTGAAAATAACACCAGAAGGACTAACAAAGCATGGCTGGCAACTCTATCTGTACTTAATTCCCATTTGGGAATGCTTAAGCAGGATTGGAACTAACGAGCAAAGAAAAAGGAAATAAACTGAGGGATGTGAGAAATTTTCATTGAGTATTTTATCAGTCTGTTTACAGCTTGCTGTGGAAGCTGCATCCACTCAATTTTTTCCAAATTAGTCATCAAGCTGCCCTGACTTTCTCTGCTAGCACTGGCTTCAGCCACAAGGTAAGGAGGGGTACCTGCTTAAGGAGCCCCACCAGTTCTGCAGCTCTGCAGTTTTGGGAGAAGCGGCAACACCTTTGTGTAAGATTAGTAATTATGGAAAACATACTGTTCTCCCCAAAGGCCAGAACAAGACAGAGCAGATTCGGTTCTGTATTTGTTTACAGGAGTAGATCATAATCGGTGCTAGCAGATCAGTCTGATCACAACAACAAATTTCCCACTGAAGTTAACAGGAAGTTCTTGTCCTAAATGAGTAAAAAAGACCACTCCACAAAGGACCAACCAGGTTCAAGGCAGGCCTCTGGGTGATACAGAAATGGGCTACAGAGCGTTGCTGGTTGCAAGAGGACAAAGCATCAGAGAAAGCTCAGCTGGAAGGATTAATTTCCAGCCCTACATTAAATCTAAAAACAGATGAGTTAGGGTGAATACGTTTGGAAAGAGAATGACTGAGGAAAGTCAGAGGTACATTCTGTGCATGTGAATCCTGGGCAATCTGGTGAATCGTGAACAGATCTTCACCTGGATAAAAAGGTTTCTTCTAGCTACCCTCAGCCATCTGGCTGTCTAAGTTTATATGTTCATTTCAAATCCCTTTCCTAGCATCTACTTAAAAATTTCTAAGTGTATTTCTTATGCAACTTGTTCATATTGGCCTCAGTTCAAATACACCCAGCCTTAAAGTACTTCCTCTGTACTTTCAAATAGTTCTACTTTTATCAGGGAAATATACTAAATATGCTTGTTAAAAAACAAGAAAAAGTTTCAATTAAAAAATTAACACCACACAATTCTTACATAATTTCAGTACATGAACAAAGAAAACCTTAAGATCTAACATCATCATTGATTCAGACTGCTTGCATACCACACGCCCGGTGTTGTCTATGAACTTCTCTTTTATTTTCCCACCTGCTGTCTCCATCTTACCCACCGTCTTTACAGTAAGACTGACATATGTTTCACATTTCGCACCCAGGTAACACAATCAAGGAACTTGCACAGTCCTGATGCATATAATACAAAATCACTCTGTATTTAAAGTTCTACATACACAAAGGCACAGAATGATATCATTAAACTTACCATCACTTGCAGAAAGTGAGTCATTTGCACAGACCAGTGCCAAAGTAAACAGCAGATGCCGAAGATCCATACCTCTAATTCTGTATTAACAAAGAACAACAAGAATTTCCTTATAAACTAATATTATTATGGGTACATGACACTTCAATTATTATCTATTTCCATCGAATTTCTGATTGAATCTAAACTAGAAGCATATTTAGTTTACAGCATATTTAGTTGCAGTATCTCCTGACTTTGAATTAGGAGATAGATAGTAAAATAGTCATATTAAAAGAAGACTAGCTCACGGGTCACTAGTTCATTTAATATAGAAGAAAAAAATCAGTATTGTCAATTTTTAGCTTGATTCCAGTCTGCAACCAAAGTAACCACACTCCATACGGAGCAGCCTGTGGGGAACGGATCTCAACAACTAGCCTAGGTTAAATCTTAAGGTAGGAAAGAACAATCTCTCTCGGGGAACAAAGACTTCAAGCTCATGCTCCCCAGATGCTGTTTATCTTTGCAGGACATATATAATACTTCATGAGTCTAGATCCGCACAAAGTGAAAAACGAGTTCTGAGGGGACAGAGAAATAGCACTTCTACATTTGTCCACAAAGTAGTACAACAAACTTTGATTATACACTGGAGTATTTTCAGCTAGACATTCTCCTTTTCCATCTGACATAACAGATCAGCAGAATAAATCAAACTATTGAGTCCACTGTGGAACAATATTTTAACTGGGTGCTACTGAATAAAACAACTGGTGCTAGCAAACTTGGCTGCTAAAATAGTCCTACCAGAGTTAGCAAAGTTTGAATTCAATCAACTGTAAGACACAAGCATGCTGAGCATGGAAAACTGTGTTCACATTGAACTTAAAAGATAATTCGCTTTACTTAATTTTCTCACCGCAAGAGAACAGATTACTCACACTGCAGGAAAAAAAAGCAATTATTATTAATGCCAGATTCCTCATTCATGCTGTTTAGAACAAAACTGGAAAATCAGAATGTATTTCTCACACCCTCATTAGCAAAACTACTCAATAATTCTCCAGTTTCAAGCCCAGCATGGGGAAAATTTACTCCAACTACATTGCAAAGCCTAACATACAACTGCAAAGACAAACCGGAAGGTGCTTCCTTTTGTGCTGGGGCTGCTACAGGAATGCCCAGCTGCAGTGCTTGTCCCTTTCCCAGCAGACACAGCTCTGTCCAAAGGGGCAGAAGTCTTAGAGCTTGGAGGGACGCAGGCTTGTGAGGCGTTAGGGCTGATGTGAGAGCCTGTGGAGCAAAACTGAGGAGTGGTGGAAGGCAGTTGCTGCCAGAAAGCACAGGACTGGGTAGAAGTTCAGAGAGCAACTAGAAACTAACTCTCGTACTTGCAGAGTAGATACAGTATGAGATTCATCCCAGCACAGCTACATTTTTATCTAGCTCGAGTCCCCATTCCATCCGTATTCATGACTAAAGGATTCTTGTTGTCTCTTATTAATAAATTTTCTTCTTCACTGCATTTGTCAGTTTCTCCCCTCTTAGAACATTTCCACTCTAACGAACAGTCCATCCCCACAGCCCTTCCACTTTCTCTCTGAAGCTTTGCTCCCTCTTTTGCAGATGTGAGCACAGCGTTACTTTATTTACAACCCTGCTCTTCTACTATAACATCCAGACATCCCACATTGCCTCTATTTACACTTCCCTGTTCTCCTATCTCCACCAACATCTGCTAATTTTCAAAACACTCTTCTCCAAACTCTCCTACTTCTTTCTGCTTAACAACAGCTACAAAAAAACCTACAACCCAACCAACTCCATACAAAATCATCAACACTGTTGGTCATTCAGAGAAAACTGCAAGTAGAATTTTGGTTGCTGTAACCACACCATATCAAGGATCTTCTCTGATGAGAAGGGGATTGGTTCCCACAGGCTATCCCTTTGTTTGCACTGGAACTAGGAGCTATCTCAACTTCCTCCAAGGAAAAGTGGTCTGACAGCTCGAGCACTAACCCAGGAGTCTGGACATATCCCAGAGGCCAGACATCACGTTAAACTTCAGTAAGGTCTTAATGCTGCAGATAGACACAATTCCACTTCAATACTGCTCTTCCTCTTGTGCTGGCATTCTTGTTTACATAGCTGCATGTAGTGATACCATCAGGAAACTGCTTCAACAAAAATGAATCCATAAATATTTTTAACAAAGATCTGTTATAAATTGTAATAAGAAAGGAAACAGGTTTATTCTGAACATGCCCAGTACAGACAGGATTGAGCTCAAAAATTATGACTGCTCTCATCTGAAAACATGGAAAGTCTTTTATGCTTCATATAGGCCATGGAAAAAGGAAACTCCACTTCCTCACCAGAGCCCCTGTGATAAGTCTCATGCCCAAGACCTTCCCCAGCCAAAAGGAGCATTGCAAGGGATGTGAAGCACTAGGGTTTGTATCCCCTCTGCACCCAGCATGTAAACAGAAAGCACTGCTGATATGCAGTAAGTCTTCTACTTCAGAACTTCTGGAGGTCAAGGCACAGCTGTACCACCATGCATGTCTACGGGATTATGGGAGAAAATCTGTTGCGAAGCAGCTGCCCCATCATGATACTGCTTTTGGTGATACAGAACAAGATTTTGCAGAGAGGATTCCTTTGAAGCACCATCTGCTACACCAGTAAACTTTCTTATTGAAAGTTCTCAGATATCTGTTTTGTAACAACCTGCTGTTCCTCTAAAACACTTGTGCAAGCTCACAAGAGCAGTATTGTTCAGAGGCTGCAACATTAACCTAGTGAGAGTCAGCTTTTCTCTTCTGATTAGCTCTAGGACAAACTTGACCTTTTATAATCTACTAACATCAACGTCCCAAAACTTATGTCTGTACATCTATGAAAGACAAGTATCACAAATACACTTCTTGTTACTGAGCAGATCAAAAAATTCCAGTGCCTGTAACACATGCTATTCTAAAGCATATATTCTAATAATCTATATCTTACCTAACTCCTGCAGTTTGAAAGAACGAAGAGAGCTAAAACCAGAAAAATAATTACAACAGCTGACTGTCCTCAAGGCAGCTGAAATTTGACCACAGGAACATTTGGCTAGAGGTCAGCTCAGGCTAATTGCTTCAGTAGAGAAAGAGAGCCAGGAGTTATAAAAAGGACAGAAAAATTCCTGGCCCTTTTCTATAGCTGTGTTGGAGTAAGGTCAATCACAAGTGAATTTAAACACAACTCTTCAGTGGGACGTGAACACAGTCAGCACAGACTGGGGAAGCTAGACTAAGAAAATCCCTGGGAAAATAAATTGTTTAGTTAGAGCATACTGAATGGTTTGTATCTACTCTGGACAGATAACAATATTGAATTTGGAGCAAGTCATAAATAGTTCTGCTTATATACAAAACTGTTCTTTGAAGTGGAATTTTTATGTTTAGATAGCTCCTGAATCTGAAAGGACCTAAAGGAAAGAGAAAAATATTACACTTCATTAAACTGTGCCTAAGAAGGAATTTCTGCTTTTGCCATCTCCGTTAACTCACTGTACTCCAAGCACTCCAAATATGAGATTTTTTTTCCCCTACAACCTCCTTCAGTTTCACTTGGCTTGCCAAACAACACATGTGCAACTATTCCAGAACCAAAGGTGGCTTCATACTGCAAACCAAACAACATAACCGAAAGAAGGACTAACCCATAAGATTTACATTTTTCGTATGTTGCCATTTTGTATGTTACCATTTCATTAAATCTCAAACAGGCAAGCACGCAAGAGGTCACAGTGCCCGTGGATGAGAGAAGAAGCAAATGCAAATTCAGGCTCACAAATTCTGTGCCACTCTAAAGCATATGTATTCAAATACCAAATATATAAGCATACCCTTGCTGAATTTTTGGGAGGAAATACCTTTATTTCTGGGAGCGCGTACATTCCTTACAAGCCATCTCATGGCAAGATCAGTGGCAGGAAAAAAAAATCTTATTTCCCTGCTTATGTTACAAAATTCATCCAGGTTTCGCTCAATACGCATAGCTGAAATCACATCGCCTGCTCACTCGCACTTCAATAAATGCCAACAGTACAGAGTCATTCGCAGATGAAATGAATTAAAAACCTTCAAAGCAACACAATCTAAAGCTGCCACAGACCTAAAGACTTTTCTGCTTGCGTGCTGATATTACAGCTTGACTGAGTCACCATCAACGCCTGGATGATTGCCTGCTATTATTGAGTCCTTGTCAGTGCCATATACTTGACTATCTTAAGAAACAGAAGTAATGGATTGCCTCAGTTGGGATGAATAGCAGAACACTCACCTAGGGTCTGTGGTAATTCAGGATATGAAAAGAACAAGACATAATACCACAGAAACAGAAGTTATGTGTAGCAAATAAACAAATCTCAGAGAGGGTGAATTTCTCAAAAAATAAACAAACAAACAAACACAAAAACCAACTAAACAACCCAACAAACTCACAAAAACAAAAGACAGCACCACTGGGAAAGAATGAAGGTCTGGCACAAAGCTGCAGTAATTACACATGGTTTGATGCAAATCTGGGTGTTATTAAGAAGTATATCTTCATAATAAACTGAAAGTATGGAATAGAGACAATTCTATGTTCTTAATTACAGCTCTATGTAAGTTAAATCATTTATAACAGATGTAAGTATTCAAGTTGGAAACAAAATCTGTAAAAACAATTACTTTTTTTAAAATAAAAAATTTCTTTTCCCCCTTGACAACTTTATCATATAATTACTCGTACTTAAACTGAACTTAGACTGGTAATAGACCAAATGGTTATAGATTCTTGGATGTTATTTAATGAATCCAGACTTCAGACACTATGCTGAGCTTTTACTAAAAGCTCTTGTAAGTTAATTCAGCTGCAAGAACTGGAGATTAACTACAAGAACATGGCATTATAATTCTCCCCTCTAAATGCTAGGATTCATATCACGCAAATTAACAAGTGTACTAACAAGCACGTGGGCAACTATAGCCAATCAGGCTCCAGAACTCTTATTATAAAGAAATCAGCACCTCAGCTCTTCCACTTTTCTGCAACAGGATCAACT